GTTCTGGGAGGTTTCTGCTTTTTCTCAGGTGCTTAGAATGCTGATGTTATGATTGGTTAGTTTGGCCACTTTGCCAGGCTCAAAAGGAGGCCTCCTAGAAGCAGAAGAAGTCTCTTTCTGACTGCTGGTTGAGGAAGACATGCTGCTGAAAGAGACATGTGCTCCTGAAAGAGACACATGCTTCTGGGAAAGAGACACAAAAGACACTCATTACTGAGTGAGACACCAAGGGACACTCACTGTTGGGAGAGAGACTGTGGGCTGGGAGAGAGATTAAGCATTTTTCCTGAACTTGAATTGTAGCCTAGTGCTTCCCTAATAAACCCCATAATCTGTGAGTTCTGTGTGGCCACTGCAGTGAATCATTGAGCCCAGGAGAGAGGTGGTGGGTTCTTTGGGAGGAAGAGTTGGTGAAAGGACTGGAGGGAGGCAGCATATCAGGCCTTTCAGGAATAGGCCTTGGGTTACTGATGGTGATTCTGTCTTCCTCTTGTGGGGTTAGAGGAGCTCAGAAGATGTGGCCTCCATGCCCTTTTCTATAATTATGTTGCTGCTACTACTGTTTTGATTGGGTAACTTTGTATTTGGCTAAAGCTTTTCTCTTATTTATGTAACCATGTTTTCAATGCATAAATCCAATGCAAATTCTAGTGATGCAGCAAAGAAATGGATATGATCAAGACTGAAAATAAAGTGAGAAATAAAGCTATTGGAAAAAGGTGAAACAATGTTGATCACTGTAAAAGCATTGGACTACAACTGGACAATGACAACTTTTTTTTTTTTTTTAATTGTGCTTTGGGTACCAATTTACAGAGTAAATTGTTTTACATTCAACAGTTCTTCTCCCCTCCTGTCCCTATGACTGCTCCTTCCCTGTGCTCTTCTTAACTATGCACTGGACTGTCTGTCCAGCTTTCCCTCTGTGAATGCTCCCTTTTCATGCCTCATGGCTGATTGCTTTAAGGGATGCATCTCCCTAGAGTAGGTGTGTGCATCTGGGGTAGGTGTTCTGCATGTAAGTCTTTCTACTGTTGGGCTGAGAGCCAATCCAAGGGAGTAAGTCCATTTCTAGGCCCAAAGGATAACCCAGAGCCATAGTCTTGGGGGTTCCATCAGACTCTATAAGAGCAATTTTAAAGAAGAAACTGAGAATAATGGAGCAAGTGAAAGGCCCTGCCCAATTAAGAGTAAAATTATTACTAAGCATTTGATTAATTGACACTAGATAAGAACCATATGTATTTGTTCTAACTTACCCATAAATTCTACTTAAATACAGACTTAGGGGCAGATCTCATTGGTAACTCAGGAACTGCCTGTACTTTTCTAAGAACATGTGTTCCTCTGGGGGAGAAGAATGCAACAGGAAGGCACTTGAGCTGTCCTGCAAGATGGCTGTGCAGAAGAATAGGAGTCCAGAATTGTGGAGACTAAAAGAACACAACTTTGGCTGTGATTACCCACTGGAGTACTGCCTCTATACTTTCCTTCAAGGAACTATAGAAAGTACTTAAAATTACATAGGCTCATGTGCTCAATCCAAAGATTTCACTAAAATATTGCATCATATATAGCAGTTTAACAGGACACTAGAGAAGAAGAAAGACCCAGTTCTCTGGAGAAAAAAAGAACAATACTGGTACATCCTTGGCAGGAAATTATTGCCTGAGCAGCCCACAGAAATACTATAAGCCAGAAGCATAAGTCAATATAATCAGAAGACTTTTTAAAATACAGAAAATGAATTTCAGTGTTTAAAAGGATCTTGAAATAAGTGATACAAGGAATGCTGGCAAAAAATATTAATATACCCTGTTACCAGAAATTGATTAACAATCATATTACTGGAAGAAAAGCTCTTTAAGAATCTTACATGATTCTATTAATACAGTGTTATTTTCTATAGAGAGGATATTTTTCCCTCCATGGATATTTCTTAGCATTTTTTCTGAATATATTGAAGCTTCTTAGGTAGAAAAGAAAATATCCTCATCTCAATCCATTACTGTAATCAATAAGAGATTTATAAATTTTTTCATGATGACAATAATTATTTCACTATTTCATGTTACAGGTATTACTGTGGTTTCTGAGAATCATTAAAGTAATGTTTCTCAGATTTCTGTAGGCATTAAATAAGTTACATTTGTCCTAAGAACAATTCCATAATATTCCACCCAGGTAAATTAGGCTACTTATGTAAAACATGAAGGATAATTTAAATACATGTGTTTGAATTTCTTTAAGCTTACAAGTTGCTCAAAAGACATATTGAGGTATTAGGGGTGGAGGGGTAAAGTTAAGAGGAGAGGCAGAACACAAATGAAAACTGTAAGAAAATAAATAAGTAAGATGTTTATCTGAACTATATATGAGGGTAAAATATAATGATGATGATGATTTAATAGATTATTCACAGCATTCAAGTTGGTAAGGGCTGTTGTTATGTGCCATCGAGTTGGACCCGACTCATAACGACCCCGCCTTGGATTTCCAAGGTGGTATCTCTACGGAAGTAGATTGCCTAACCTTCCTTCCAAGTAGTGGCTGGTGGGTTTGAACCTCCAGCCTTCTGGTTAGCAGGCGAGTGCCTTAGGCACTATGCTGCCAGAGCTCCTTTGATAAGAGCTAAGCAGAACACAGTATTTCACTGGTATAATCAGTATACTGCTTACATATCTATATAGCAATCATGTATGTGAATATTATTGGTAATAGAATGACCACAATGTTAACTGTTAAAAAAAAAAAAAAAAAAAAGAATAGAATGACCACATGATAACTGTTAGACCAACAAAATATGACCTTTTCAGTCCTTGACTAGATAAGAAATTTTCAAAGTTACAAATCCCTGTATACTTCTACCCTATGCCTAGCATAGTGTTCTACTCATGGAAGGTAGGAAAACGGTTTAAATTTATTATTTTAGAAGAGATATTATAGTCAAGGTTCATAAATATAGAAATCTAGCATTGAGAATTATATTTGCCCAACCTTAGGAGTGCTGGTGCAGTGCCTAAGGCATCTGACTACTCACTAGAAGGTTAGTAGTTCAAATCCACTAGACAATAGGCAGAAGGAAGACTGGGCGAACTACTTCCATAAAGATTTACCACCTCAGAAAGGCAAAGGGGGTCATTATGAGTCAGAATAAACTCAATAGCACTGAGTTTTTTGGGTTTTTTTTGACTACTTTATCTTACTTTTCAGTGCACAGAAGAAAAACTCACTCAGAGACTAAAAACAGAGAACAAAAGAATTGTTAGGGAGAAGAGTTAATACCTCAGAGAAGCCATTACAAGAGTGTATAACATAGGTATATCTTTTCCCAGTTTAATCTCAGTGATTTTCTTTCTCTTTTTTCTTATTCCTCCCTAGTCTATCACAAAAATTTAACAGAAGATTGCATAGTTTAATTAAACATGTGCAGAGATTATTAGTGTGTCAATGGTCTTTCATGATTGCAGACGGAACAGAAATGAAGAGACCCTGAGGCTCATGCTTTGAAGAATATCCTTGAGAATGTTTCTGCCTCGGAAACGCACAGCTGGGAACCATTCTCTTAACTCCATCTGTGTAATCATGCCAGCAATATGCTTCCATTTATCTTCTCCTATAAACCTCAAGGTAACCAGACTTAGAGACCAGCTCTTCCTTGAATGTTTTCCTTAATTAAGTTCTCTCAAGCTATAGTTTCCTGAATTTAGACAGGTTTAGACCTTTCTTGAAGGAGATCTGGTGGCATAACACTTTGCATATCTTTTCTATAGTCTTCTGATCTCTGCTGTCCATCTCTCTCTTTTCCTCCTCTCCATGTTTCTTTGTCATGTCTACATATTATCAGTTCTTGCTCTTGGCCTTGACCAAGGAGTCCCCTGTCCTCTGCTCATTCATTTCTGACCCCAAGTTTCTCTGTTGTTACTGTTTCCTAGCTGGGTTTCCCTATGTTAGAATTACAGGACTCTATCTTCAAATATTTGCTAACTTTTTAGTAGGGAAGGCTCTATAACATGCATCATTCAATGATGCTCAAATTATTTCAATGTCCTCTTATTTCGGGAAGACAAAAAACATGTTAACCAAGTTACCAAGAGGTATTCTATCGTGTGTGGGAGGGTCTTAGGTAGCTAACCAACATGACTCTGAGATTTGATGATTACAATCCCCTAAAAGGAATAATGGAAATCCCCAGCTGAAGAGTAGGATGCAGCTCTTATAAGATGAGCTGAAGTGAGTCATCCATGAATGGTATGCACAAGGAAAATAAATAAACAAATAAACATTAAGGACTCTCTGAAGCACAACTTCTGATAATGTGGCCCTGCTGGAAAATCAGAAAATAAACAAGAGTCCCAGCCTCCACAGTAAGCTATAGTATATATATATATATATATATATATACACACAATATATATATATATATAT